AGGACAGAATTGCTCAACATAGTTATTCCCATAAGAAAAAATATAAAGACAAACCAGGAGCCATTCTCCCCCCCCCCCAACCCCATTCCGGTGAAAAGCTAGCTTGGCACAAACACACACAACTACATTTCAGATTCACCCTTTGAAGAAGAATAAAAGGGGAAAAAGGAAAAATTCAAAACACTGTCACACACTTTCTAGTGCATCTGCTGCATAAGGCTCTCTCAACAGTCTTACACGGGCAGTATGAGAAAGAACCTCCCTGATACAGCTGCTAATGTGCTTCCCTTTTTTATTTTATTTTTTTGCCCATCAGCTAAGGAACCAAAGGCTACGGAAAGATGCAAAAATAATAAAATAAATTTGGCAAAATAAATAAATAAATAAATAAAAAGCATGCTACCCAATCTGTTTCGAATTCTGGAAGGGAACACTGAAATAGAGCCCTGCTTCCAGACCCTGCTATTTTTTAATTGCTACTTTCGGACAATAAAAATCAGCAACACAGCAAAACTGCAGGTTCTACGACTCTTTACGCACGACCACGGATGCGACACAAAATGGACTAAATGGCAGTGAGATGAAGCCTTGTGAACTAACCCCACTGACAAGGCAACACACCGCTTGATGCTTTTAATGGAGCGAGTGCTGGTAGATTCCTTCCCTGGGTATCCACAAACAGTTTTCACCGCTCCCCTGCAATTTTGCATGCAAGGTGCTTCCTTATCAGCTATGTTTTTATCTTAACAATTAAATAGTATGGGCAGCTTGTTTTATGGAACCTTGTTTATTTAATCTCCATTTTGTTCTAATTAGTCTCAAGGAACCTACTGCCACTCTCCTGAGAGCTACATTCCCTGGCGACATCCCCGCAGAAGCGATACACAAAACAGTCTAGGGTTTCTCCGCACGAGGAGCGCTGGCTCTTTACGGTGTTGAGTTGAGTCGTTGCTGTTGTTTGCTGTAACTGAGGTGCCCGCACGCCCTCCGTTATTATCCCTGTGGGCGACAGCAACGCTCTGCTGGAAGGACAGCAACGCCCTTGGCATAGCGGCTCTTTAGGGGAGCAAGGGCCCCTGCACTTGGAACAGCCAGGCTCCCAGGGCCTGTGTGTACAGCAGTGTTAGTTACTAGACACCTCATAGGGGTTGTGGGTCTCACCCTCCTGCTGGCAGGGGTATGGCCATGGCCCTTCCCTTTTAAAGGGATACGGCTGGAGGGAGTGCATGATGTATGAGAGAAGGAACCCTCCTGATATAGCTGCCAATGTGCTTCCCTTTTTTACTGCTGCCCCTGCCCCCCCGCCACCACCACCACAGGCAGTCTGGTTGCCTCTGGGCTCTGATAGCACAATGCTGCCCCTCCACTCCTGATGGGGTGGTATATGCCAGCTTAATATAGCTGCTGCCCCAGAGGGCTACCACAGAGGGTGCAGTTAGACATTTGCCTGCCCAAGAAAGCAGGAGGCAACACAGTTCAGTTAGGCAGCTGGGCACCAGCCTGGCAGTCAGGAGAGCTGAGTTCGAGTCTCAGCGCTTCTACTGACTGTGAGCAGCTCACTTCCCCTCGCTGTGTTTAGCAGGGGCAGTGATGATGATCTTCCGTCATTGTCTATGGATGCAGAGCAAAGAATTTTTGGCATGATGATTCCCACAGAAGGTCCTGGGAGTTTTGAGCACTTTGCCCTCCCAACACCCATAGCAGCGAAGTCAGGAACCGTTAGGACAACAGCAGCCACAATTCCCCCAGCATATTAAGTAACCTGATGTTTCAAGCCAAGCCACTATCAACTGCAACATGCAGCTGCAGCCCACAGAGCCTACACACCATAGCTTGCAATGCTCCACTTGCTCTGGACCCTTTCTGGTTGAAGCACTGCCCTGTGGGACTTGTAGTCTCTACAGGTTGTACCTAATTAACGATGGGGAAAATCTGCTCTGTACTTTTTTCAAAGTAGATGTAGCGCCTGGAAAGTTGCCAATGTATCCTTTAGTCAGGCAAAATTCAAGCACCTTTGCTTTACACCCATCCTTCTCCGATTGCAAAACGGAGCGATTCTGCGTCAAGCGATCATAGCTTGTGCCTGTCGCTCCTGCTGCCATCAGCCAATCCTTGTTAGAAATACTTCGTTTCAGTTCCTGGCCCCAACATGCTGCTAAGTGGGTAATCATGTTTTCCATTACCCTTCTAGCTGCGAGTCTGTCTTTGTCTTGGGTATCAATTTCATAAAAGCTTTTAAAGGAATAAATAAGGGGATCGCTGTGGAATAAATGAGATTCTCTCCTGAAACCCACAAATTCAGGCCATCTCGCAGATTGCTCAGAGTAAAAACAAAACAATACAAACCAGGTCACAAGTACTGCTTGAGGCTGAATATTATCTCAGAACTTCCACATAGGGCCATAACCACGGCAGGGCAGCCGCCCAGGGTGCAAAGCCGCAAAGCGGAAAAATGGGGTGGAGAAATGACCCCCAACCCCCCCAAAATGGCAGGGGGCACAAATATGCGTGCTCACCCCAGGCACTAAAATGTCTAGTTACAGCTCTGCTACCACACCAATGACGTTGGCAGTGGGTGGTGTCTTTAACATGGAGGCAGGAGCAAGGGGTTAATGGGGCGACAGCACCGCGTACAACGGTCCTCTCCCTAGTTCCAAGTGCGGCTTTTACTCGTGCTCAAAAGATGCAGGGGCACAGACCCATGGCAACGGGCACTGCAGCCACCAGTCCCAAGGCCACCACTTTCATCTGTAGCTATCTTCCCCTCAGAAGAGCAGCAGAGGCCTTCTTGGAACTCCTGGCAAGCACTCATCCCGTTTGGCCTCCCAGCTGGAGACACATGGGGATGACTGGCATGAGGCCAGCATTGGCAGATGGTAGCCACTGTAAAATGCTTCTGTCTTAACTACTCAGCAGGCTGGGGGATTCTGGGTAGTGGATAGGCCCCAGCACCAAAACACTGGCTCTCTCTATCAGCCTCCCACTGACAGCTGGTTCAGCAGGCTGGGTACTCTCCCCTTCTGGGCTTAGCATTTACTCCCCCGTCTCCCATCTCATGAGCCAGTCACCCACTCTCATGGCCGTACTTCATCGTGCTTCAAAACAGGTCGACCTAAACTTGGCCCCAATTCCCACCTGAGCTGGCTACGTCGAGCTTTCCCTTCAGATCAGCTCTAAGGCTCGGCTCCTCAGAAGTATTTCACCTCAAAAGGTGAAATCAGTGGAAGTTAGGAGCCTAAATACCTTGGAGGACCTGGGTCTAAGCCGTGCAGCGCTGCTGAAGGCAAGCGAGCGAATGAGACCCACCTAAGTCCTGCTGCTTGTGTGAGTCAGCAGAGAAACTCCACACCTCCAGTCAGTGGTTGATGTTTCTCACGCAACCTTGAGCAGCTCTTCCAAATAGGACCCTAGAGCCCAGCCACTGTTCCCTCCATCGGGCATACCTGTGATGGGAACTGTATGTTGGACAGCTTGTGGGGACACATTTGGTTCACTCGCAGACATTAAGACTAGAAGGGACAATTATGAATATCTAGCCTGACCACCTGCATAACATGGGCCATATAATCTCCGCCAGTGTATAATTTTGGCTTCCACCTCCTGTGCTACCTCAGGATTTGAGCCCGTACCTCTGGCACCATAAGCAAGAGCCAGGCTAACTCTCCTTTGGGTTTCAAACAAAGCCTCCTTCACTCACGCCATGGGGAGAGCGACCATTAAGCCAAAAAAGTGACACTGCAAGGCAGCTACCACCGGTACACGTTGCTGTCACAGATAAAGTCGTCATGCCACCAAGCAAACGATTCCAAGCCACTGTCGAGGACCTGTATACAGTGTGCCCCTTCTGCTGAGCTGGCCTGGATTGTGCTTTAGGGTATTGAGGAGCGGACTACACCAAGACATATAGCTCAACCTCCCTTCCTGTACCCTGCCATGACGAAACGTGGGTGGAACTCCTAGAGCTGGCAGTTTTCCGAGGCAGCAGGGCCAGATTCAGGGGAGCCAAAGGCTTATGCTAGATGTGAATTTGCTTGTGTATGCAATCCTCTACTGAGAGGTAGACACCTCTGATAATTAAGGGATGGCATCAGTTCCATAGTGACTCTCAGCAGGCCTTTCCTGGATAGACTGTCCTCTTGCTATAAAGTCGAGGTGGGGGAAATGAGACAGGCACCCATCAAGAGGAAGATGAAGGATCCCACTTCAAAAAGTCTCCCTCAGGCTGGGCATTTTTATGTTGATATTTCTGAATTAAAATAAAACCTTCAGAGATGTAGGCAAATGCAGGAGCTGGAGAGAGGGATTTGGAAATGAGCATATGCAAGAGAGGGACCCTGGAAAATACAGCTCCCTGTCCTATACTATGTTTTATTTAGAACGCACTGTCCCTCGAGATCCAAATATCCTCCGGAAATAGATGCTGAGAAAAAATTAAACATGGCTAGGTGAGGCTGCTGCCCAGCAGGAAAATAGGCTGCACAATAAAGAGTTGCAGATCACAGCAGAACTCCACAAAAATAATACTCAGGAACAGGAGGAAAGGAAGGGAGGGTGCCTTCCAGAGAGGATCCCACCAAGCAATTGTAGGCTTGTAAACCTGTCACACCTCCGTCCTCAATCCACCTCGTCAGCTCTTGTCGACACCAAGAGATCGGCCAACCCAGTACAGAAACAGGACTATTAGTGAGTAAGCAGTCTGGCCATCAGGAGGCTTTCCACTTCACGTTGTCCGAGCACTTGGGGACAACAGACCCGCACTAGGAAAGAGATCTTAGTCAAATTTGAAGAGGAGTGAACTTGCGGGGGTCCTAAATGGAGCTGCTTTGCATTTGAACCTTAAATGGATCTATAGACTGTTTTGCCAGTAAGAAAAACCAATGGTATCAGTGGGGTGATTAAGGGGATTCTGGTGGATGCAAAGGGGGCCCCCCAAAATGTATTTTGCAAGACAAGAGCAAAGGAATTAAAAGTTAGGAGGGTTAATTCAGGAAAAAACAAAATGACTCAGCCAAACAACTTTATTATGAAAGCACTTAGAAAAAACCATACCCAGCCCCTGGCCAGATGAAGGACATTTGGGGCTAGGAACCTCAAGTGATGTTCTGATTCTGTTAAGCAGTCTGTCTTCAGCCAACTTAAACAGCTGTCAACAAATTTACAATGTGTATTCAAATTTTAGCAGAACACATTCCCGGCCAGCAATCCTGTTTACGAAGGCCTGTTTACAGGGTGATAATGGCAGAAATATACTGTTAGAGAGGCACGCCAGCCTTGGACTGCCCGAGACATTAGTGCGTAGCAGCCAGGGGCCTTTGGAACCTACAGTACATACCGGATAAGAGGTACATCAGGTTTAGATGGTTGGTTCAATTGGCCGTTGTCCCAGTGAGGTGTCTGCACCCACACTGCTCATTCTCAGCATCACATGCATTTAAACCGAACCTTCATAAAAAGTCTTTGCCATCGCATGTGCCAATTTCGCCACCTTCTTCTCCTTTGCATCAGGGCCCATATTGTGGCGGGCTAGTTTAATCCAGTATTGCTCAGTCCTGGGCAGATAGTCTGTGTATTTCTCATCAAGCTGAACAGATGGGTGCCGCTCCTCTTCTAGCACACGACAGGAGGGAAACAGAAAGGAAGCGAGAGGTCACAAACAGCTGATGAAAGCAATCTGCTTGCCCGTGTGCCGGGCTGGTTGAGAGGGCGCTGCAGCGCACATATTTTAATGTGACAGTTTAAAGACTATCGATAGCTAGGGGAAATGGTTTTTCTCCCCAGGACACAGGCAAACCTGGAACAGAGTGTACTATGGAAATAGGATTTCTTTTGGAAAGCTCAACTTGCCGCTGGATTTTTGCCTTTTTAAATGAAAGGACTAGTAGCCCTGGTTGGAAAGGCAAACAGACATATGTGCAGTGCAAACATACTAGCTGAAAATGCCCTCTCCCCACCCAATATCCCCCTTCTGAGCCCACGCGTAGCTGTGTCAATGAACCTCAATCCTGACCTGCAAAACTCCCTGCAGCTCTTTCTGAGATAGAGGTGGGAAGTAGTGGTCTAAGCACAGGACAGCAAAGCCAGCAGATTTCTGACCCATGACCCCCGCCCTCCCCCCGATGGTTTAGTGAGGACTGACACCTGTAACCGTACCCGGAAGGTGAAAAGCGCTGAGCCATTACCGGTTCCTAAATTCCCTGTAGCATCTTATTGCTGGAAAATCCCAGGGGGCTCAAGCGGTCATTAAAAGGTGGCCTGGGTTGCTAATAAAGCACAGCAGCTTCAAATTCTGAAGCCACTTCATAAAACCAGAGACAAGGCTGAAAACCAGAGACAAGGCTGAAAGCTCTAGAACATCACAAACTGGAGCAAGGCAGCCAAAATTGCAGATTGTGGGGCAACACCCCCCCCGAACAACTACCAATCCATGTGTTCTTCTCATTCCTTTTAGCAGAATTACCTTCATCATCTTCACTCTCTTCATCAGAGCCTTCCTCCTCCTCATCACCACCTCCCTCTGCACCTTCTACATCATCCCCCTCCTCATCGGACTCGGACTCTTCCAGCCATTCTTGAGTTTCTTCAACAGTAAAACAAACATATACAATGAATAAACAAAACACAATAAACCCTCTTGGGGTGGCTGGAATTGTTACTGGGAGAATGAGACAGTCAGACAGTGTCCCGTCTTTCTGAGCTGAGCAGTCATCACATAGCCACCCTGCAGTTCAGCCACCATGAGACACCAAGTTCTGAACTTCAGTAACTCCTCGCTTAACACTGTAGTTATGTTCCTGAGAAAGGCGACTTTAAGCGAAAC